CGAGTCCCGCATCGGGCTCCCTGCTCGGCGGGGAGTCTGCTTCTCCCTCTGACCCTCCTCCCTCTCATGCTCTCTGTCTCTCATTCTCTCTCTCTAGCAAAAAAAAAAAAAAAAAAAAAATTCTCTGCTCCCATTTGATGTTAAAATGTTTTACACACAAAAATAATCTTATAAACCATTCTGGCTCATCCTTAAGGAAATACCTCATTGGGGTATTTGATCCTCTTCCTTGTTAAAAAGAACTTAGAATTGTATCTCAGAGTTGATCCAAAGTGGCACATACTTTAAGCTTTAACAATGAAAAGTGACTGTAAATATAATTAAATACTTGGTATCTCATCCACTGTAGGCTAAAGGAATTTAATTTCCACGCTGCTCAGTTCCATCACTAATACTGAGTGCCCACCATCTGCAAGGCAGTGTGGGTGATCCCACCGTTGACCGGGCACTGGCACCATAATCTTTGGAAAAAGATGAGTCTCAGCTGTAAATCTGAGCCTAATCTAGAGCCAGGTGCCAAACACTTACTTAGTAGTCAATGAATATAAAGTGGAAGCCAATACAGAAAATGTATGTCCTGCAACAGAGCTGAATGAGACCAGTGTCTTCCTAAATGAGGTCTCTTCCCTGAAATGAGCCTTGCTTTTTTCCAAGAAGAAGAAAAAAAGGAAGTAAAGATGATTTAATTATACTGCAATTTATACTGGAAAGGAAAACAAACAAACAAAAACAAAAACAAAAAACCCCAAGATTCTATCTTGCTCATAGGTAACACTGAAAAAGATTCTAAGAAAGGACTATCACCACTGGGTCCATTTTGAAGATGAGGTCTTATATGTATGTCTTAAATTTTTTTTAAAGATTTTATTTAATTATCTGGGAGAGAGAGAGAGTGAGTGGGAGGGAGAGGGAGAGAGAATCTGAAGCAGACTCCCTACAGAGCACAGAACCCAATGCAGGGCTCCGTCCCAGGGCCGCGAGATCATGACCTGAGTCGAAACCAAGAGTTGGACGCTTAACCAACTGAGCCACCCAGGCGTCCCATGTATGTCTTACATTTAAAAAAGAAAACTACACATGCAGACATATGATTGTGTGTGTGTCCATGTGTGCACACCTTGTGTTTTCTATCCTATAACATAAGAAATCACTTCCTAAGGCAGACCTATAGGCTCAAACATCACATATGTCACCCTTCCCCCTCACTTACTGGGCAGCACATCATACCAGGTCTCTAACTACCACCGAAATTACTCATCTAGATAATATCGGTTCCATCCTTCTATGCCTCAGTTTCTCCCATTTGGAAAAATAAAGAAAACCCTCTCTCTCAAAACCTTAGAGGGAGGATAATAGAGATTAATTATAGAGCCTCTACAAAGAAATCGGAGTTCCTTGTGGGAAAGCACTATATAAATAGAAGGGATAATTACTGCTATTCAAACAGAAAAGCAAAAATAAAGCAGATCTATTAACATTTATGAAATTAAATCACAGGCAATTTATTTTTAGTAGCATAAAATAAATGGATACATCAGCAAATCAAATTAAGAATCAAAGCTTGAAGTAATTAACTCTTTTATCTAAGTCTCTTAACTATAAAACATGAACAAGATCTTTTTTTTTTTTAATCCAAGAAAAAGACAAACAAGGAGTTAGCACTTTTTATACTATTCTTTACTTCAGGATCACAATAAGATGCCAACTATTCATTAGATTTATTCAAATAATTTTGCCTGAAATCACTTCTTTCTCTTAAATATAGGATATGGAAATGAGAGAGAACTCCAGAGAGCTCTTTTTCTCCCCCTAGAGGATCACACTGAAGCATCCTAGGAACTCCTATTCTGATGACCTGAGAGAGAATATATCATTATTTAGCAGTAATCTATACCAATAGAAAATTCTTCTAACCAAACCCCTTGGCCTCCTATTTTGAGCAAGTAGAATTCTCTTCTTGCCATTTAACAAGAAAACCAAAACCAAAATGAGCCCCAGAAAGCTAACATTTCTTGAGCACCTACTACGTTCTAACTACCATATTACGGCTCTTTGGACGCCATCTTTCTTTAAGGCCTCACAATAAGCCCGAGAGACAGACGTTATCTCCCTTCTATAGATAAGGGCACTGAAAGTTCAAAACAGTTTAGTTTTGCCCCAAAAGGCACAGCGGGTTAAATGAAGAGATTGGATTCATCGAGAATACAAGTGACACAAATTCCTACCAGCCGGCTTCAATGAAAACATTGCCAATTTTGAAGTCTACACGTTTATTTTTACCTAATCTGATGAAAGGAATCACAAGCCGAGAAACCACAGGTGAGAGCAATGTGTACTACGAAACACCAGACGGCGTAATTTAAACTTCCTGAACCAAGGCGCTGCCCATTCGTAAGTGGTGTCGTCTTCAAGTTACAGACTGGAGGAGGACTTAATCCCGTGACCCGAGCACAGGTTCTGAGGTGTGCTCTGAATGGACGGACTCTGCCCCTCCCCCAGCCGCAGTCGGATGTGTGTGGTTACCGCCCTGCCATTTCAAAGGGCGGTTGCGTGGACCAACTGAAGACGAGCCAAACTTCATCTAAGTAATCCGAAGTTTCACTGACATTGTCTGGTTGTAATGATTTCTTTTGAATTATTTTGGCCAAGTGGAATTCTGGTAAGTTTTATCAAGATCATTAATAAAACCAAAGAAAAAAACCAAGTATTTGGTCATGGTCTTATGCTAGATTCTATGTGAAGGTAAACATTTCTCTTACTCAGCTGTTGAACTGAAGTCTTTCTAAAGAAACATGGCAGCCAACATACCTTGGCATTGAGAGGACACACAGACAGGGCACTTCGAAAAAGCTCTTCTTCATTCCGCCACTCGCCACTGCGAATCATGCACCTCAGTATGTTTATGAATAAGATTCCCAGTATGACACCAGCAATCAATTTCTTAGGAATAGAGAGATACAGTAGGTGTCATTAGGAAGATCCATCCATTCGTCTTGGTTATGAATGGCACCACTCTGGGCCAGTACCTTTTTCTTAGTGTGTTTACTGAGAGCTCCAAATCCGAAAGTCAGCAGCAGGCAGTACCCAGCACTGGGGAGGTAGAGGACTCTCTCTGCAACCACAAAGCCCACTCGGAAGAACAAGTTACTTGCAGGAAGAAATGGGATAATGAGAAATCCCAGGCCCAGTGTAAGGATCCTAGAAAATGAGAAGTAATTGAAATGGCTATTTTCAGACCTTTAAAAAAAAATTCCTACTCAACATTAAAATAGTGATAAAAGCCCCCTTTCTTTCACGTCATCAGTTGAGGAAAGGTATCAGCAGTAGCAAAGAATGTCATCAGTAGGGCCTAGGGCTTAGCCTGGCAGTATTAGGATAAGTCATAAAATCTCACTAACACCAAATGCAGGGATAAGACTTGTAAGTTGTCCCGTCCATATGAGTAAGGTTAGAATGATTACATTTTGTGAGGTCTTATTAATTCGCCTACTCTTAACCCCACCTTAAACCATGTAGCGTTGAATAGATCAGTGGGTATATTAGTGCAATATAGTTTTCATGGGGAAAAAAACCGCCCCCGCCCCCCCCAACCTTACCAGGAATAATAATACTTGACTTTATAAACTTTATAAAATCTGCAATAAATGAAATCATTTTTGGGAGCTACATCACCACAAATGTTAGTCAAGCAAAAAGAAAGCTGAGCAACAAAGCACTTGTGGAACGAGGCAACATGTCCAGTGTTCCACGTGACATAAGAACAATTAAGAAGCCAGGTCAAATTTGGTGGCTCCTTGTCGGTTAAGCGTCTGCCTTTGGCTCAGGTCGTGATCCTGGGGTCCTGGGATCGAGCCCTGCCTAGGGGTCCCTGCTCAGAGGGAAGCCTGCTTCTCTCTCAACCCGTCCCCCTGCTCATGCTCTCCCCTCCCCCACACGTGCGTGGTCTCTCTCTCAAATAAATCAATAAAATATTTTAAAAAATACTATTGCACGTGTATAAGCGAACTGGGACTAAAGTTAGTTGCCCTTTAGAATTATGAACCAATGTAATAGATAAACTTAAAACCTTATTTATTTTGAGAAATTACTAACCTAATTCCATAAGCACTTACGCTTAAAGGGAATCAATCACCTTAAATAGTTTTCGTTCTCATGAACCACATTTGCTTTTCCCCAATTATTTTCTCAATAACCCTCTTTTTCTCTTCTTTTTTCGTTTTTTTTTTTTTTGGCAAGAAAGAATGGTCTCTTTGGGGCAGCAGTTTATTTTCTACGAAACAACAGAAGGACTCGCTAGGGCATCCACCAGGGCTTTCTGAAGGAGAATTGTGAAACAATGGGCACGGCACACATCAATTACACTCTCTGTTCTGACCATAAATTACTCTTTACCACCTACCTCGAAAAGGATCTCAAGATGCTACTTCATGGGGCCTGCGGGAGCGGGGGAGAGAGCAGTCATCTGTCCCCCTCCTCCAAGGCCACTCCCCACCAGCTGAAGCCGGCAATGGATTCCAAAGGGACGGAACTCATCCTCGCCGGCAATATGTACGGGAAATAAATGTCCTTGGACACTACTTCCGCCAAACTGTTAAAATGATCAGTGCTGGCTTGAGCGAGAAGCTCTGACTCGATCCCGTGTGGAAGTTAAAATTCAGTGCTGCCTCTTACCTTCTTTTGTGGCTGTCTTCAGAACACAGGGCTTGGCATATTAGGCCAATTAGGCACAACCAGAGAGCGGCTGGTGCAGTTACCCTCCAGTCGCCGACTGACTTAATGAGGGGGACACAGCCCATTGACCAATCAAAACACAGCCACCAGGGACACAGCAGCAGCCAAGCGTTCAGTGAATAGTAGTAATTATAGTTTATGGCCTGTCAGTCAAAAGGAAAACAAACATGTATTTGATACAGAACTTCTACATGTGTATGTAGTACACACACACACACACACACACACACACACACACCTTGAAGCTTCACTTTTGAGGCATCCATAGGCTTCCATTCACGGAGAGCAGTTGTATAAAATAAAATATTGCCAATTTTGATAGTGGACACGAGGCCATCGTTTGCAACTTATTAAATGCATTCAGAATGTAATAGACAAAAATACAGCGAAGCCACCAGACTCTGCTATATACGTCCATTATATTTCTGGTCAAAGTATGTCCCATTTACTTAGTGATGCCCAAAGTCTGTGACCCAGGAAATCTGAGGCCCGGGGGTCATCTATGTGTCTGACAATATTAAGAACAGGGCTTTCCCTTCTTTTGATTTCTATCTCTATGAAATGCACAGCTAAGACTTTGTGGCTTGACACCCTCGCCTTCAGAAAAAGCGAACCTTTACAATAAAGGGAATCTTGATACTGCTGGACGTTTAAAGATATGTAACCGACGTGGTTGTATTTTGTCTTAATCCCGCTATATCAGTTTTCTTTACAACAAAAGTAATGGGGTCAGGGGACACTTTAGTGAGGCTAACAGGGAACCTGATGTTTGAAAGAACCACTGCTCTTTAATTTTGTTTCGAATGGAAATACAAAGGGCTTACACCCTCTCCATCCCCTAATAAAACTCGGGTCTCATCCTAGAATATCCTTAGTGAGAGCAAACCAATGTGGAGGTGTTCCGCCGATGGGGGATTCTGTGGGCGTGTTGGGAAGCGAGAAGAGGAGGACAAAGGTGGTGGGATTTGGTGGGCAGAGAAGACAATCCAGCGGGGGACAGGCTCAGCACTCACCCTGACCAACATGCTGTCGGCAAAGGAGGCGGGGTTGTCCACCTCGGTGAACGCGGGCGGGCCGGTGCCCATGATTTTCCAGCGCACGTAGAGCATCCCTGCGCCCCCCGAGGCCAGCAGGGTCATTCTGAAGAGGAGGCCCCTGTTCCTGAGCACGCCAAAGTTCTGAAAGGACAACGCCAAGCCCCTGATGGCGCAGATTTTCAAAAGAGAAGTGCAGCCAAGCTAGGTACAAACGTGCAACAATTCTGCCAGAACTACGCGGACACGGTAGCTTAAAAGGGCCAGCTACTTCAAGATTCAAAACCGCAAGAAATATTTTGAAAATGGCATTTTAAATCAGCTGGTACTTGACATTTTCCATGTCTGGGCTGGAGACAAAAGTCTATACTCACCTCTAATGACTTGTCTTTATGTAGTACCTTCTGGACCATTTCCAGAACATTTAATTTGCCTATCACCAAGATGTCAAAGACTGCATTCAAGCCCTGAGGAAGCAAAGCAAGGCAATCAGTAACGGGAGAGCCTCGCTCTGATTAGGCAGCAATTATACTTCACAGTTTTATTACTGAATCTCGACAAGAACTGCAGTGGATAAGATAATCACGGAAGGAGTTTTCATCTCTAAAACAGACACCCCACTATTGTTCCTATAAAATCAGCTCATGGTAATATCTCAAATTTATTATCTAGTAAATCCTCTTGGTCATAATTTCAGAGTCTGCCTAGAAGAGTATTTAAAGATTCAGGATGGCTGGACATTTGGGGTTCCCAGAAGAAGTTCTGCAGAGGTCCCTCTTCCCTTGCTTTTCCTTTACTATAGAACAGTCTCTTAGTTGATGTGACTGAGGGGTTACCTGCACCATAATTATGCCTCAGAAGAGAAAGGCAGCCATCAAACTCGACAACCCAGCCACGTAAATAATTAATCGCACCCCCAGAGCGCCAAGTGCGTGCCGATTCCAGCAAGTGCAGTAACAGCAGGGGCATGACATACAAAATAATCTCTGAGAGGGCTTCAGAGATCTCTCAGGTTCGGACTCCTAGCCCGTCTGCTGGTTTTCAGTTCTTGCTGGGCACAGAGCCAGACCGCACTTCCCAGCCAGTCCTGCAGTTACAAGTGGTCATATGACTGAGTTCCAGCCTCCGGAATGTGGGTAGAAGTGATGACGCACCATTTTGGAGGTTTGGTTATAATCTGGGCACTCCCCGCCTCTTGGTGTCGCCTTGCAGCTGGCTGGGATGGACACCATTGGGTCAACTTTGGAAACTACACTCCCAAGATGGCAGCTAGGTGAGCCTTGGATTCCCTTCTCTCGCGGCAGGCAACGTCATCTTGTGGAACTCCCTGCCCCATCTAGATAATGTGGTCACAATACATATGGCGTATATGGTTAAAGTTCCCCCTAAATGACCCTAACCTTTTTAATGTGAGGCTTTGTGGTGAAGAAGATCAGAAATCATCAGAAGCCAGTAGTAACTGGTGGCTTCCAGAGCAAGGATGACATCCCTACTTAACCCTCTCCCATAAATGCTAGAAGCCATTAATTATCCAATACACAGGCCAGTGCTGGGTTAATTATGTCAAAGAATTCTGGTTTCATCAACTCAGGCGACACAGGATTTTAGTGGGTCACAGCAGACCATTTCTGCCCGGGTGTAAACCATTTTCTAGAAGGCAGAAGCTCCCTGTTGAGCCGCTGCTGTCTTATACCATTTGTTTTTCTCCCCAAGGAATGAGGGGATCTTGTCATCACTTCTGTTTGGCACTCTCCAACTTCCCATTTAAATGCATTATCAAAATGTCCACATTCTAATCCCATTTTTGGAAATAGCTGAATTTTACCATATCTTTAGTTACATAAATTCAACCTAGTTCTTTAGCGCTTTTCAAACATTAACGGGAGCCACCTTGGACCTTGTTAAATGGAGATTTTGACCCAGCAGGCCTGGGGGTGGGGTTGGAGGTCCTAAATTTCCAATAAGCTCCCAGATGGTGTTGATGCTGCTGGTCTTTGAGAAGCAAGGGTTTAGAGCAGTGGATGGTTTTGCCACGTGGGGGATGCTTGACAATGTCTAGAGACATTTTAAGTTGTCACAACCAAGGGAGTCCTATTGGCATTTAGAGGGTAGAGGCCAGGGATGTTGCTTAGCATGCTACGATGCACAGGACAGCCCTCCCATAAGAAAGAGTGATCTAGCCCAAATGTCAGTAATGCCAAGATTGAGAAACATGGGCTTAGAACTTAAAAAAAAAAAACCAAAAAACTCACGAACTTCAAGTATCTTTGCACAATAATTCTTTCTATGCCATTTTTTAGCTATCTAATCTTAATCTTATAGACTGAGCCTGATAAAACCATGGATCTTTGCTTTGAGTTACATCAAACCCCATAAAGCTTTATCTGCTCTTTCTTTCCCAAGCTATTCCTATATGGGCCATTCAAATCCCATATCTCTGTTTTCCATTTCTCTACCCCTAATCACAGCCCTAATTTCTAAATTTTCCTCTAATAAAGTCAAGGATAAAATTGGCTCGAAAGAAAAAAAGGAAAGTGGATTTCAATGCCTCTCCCTCCCTGGGGCCTCAATTCTGATCAGACATAGGAGGTGTACATCTGTACTCTTCAGAGGCTCCTCCTTTCCTCTTTGATATTTCCAGTTGAAGCTGAGCACAACATACACTCAATGCTTCTCTAACCAGGACCAGAAGCATGGATGGGGTCAGCCCACTGTTGTATTTAGAGCTGCCGAAACAGGAGAGCACCGCAGAAAACTTAAATTGTTCTTTCCTCTTTTTCTACAGCACCTCTCCATGAGAGCTAATCACTGCCTTTTTTTTTTTTTTAAGATTTATTTATGGGAGAGAGAGAGAGAGAAAGAGAGCGAGAGCACACAAGTGGGAGGAGCAGAGAGAGAGAGAATCTCAAGGAGATTCCTCACTGAGCTCAGAGCCCGACGCAGGGCTCAGTCTCACTACCCTGAGATCACGACCCAAACCAAAACCAAGAGTTCGACACTTAACTGACTGAGCCACCCAGGCGCCCCAGGAGCTAATCACTTTTTTTTTTTTTTATTCAATTAGCCAACATATAGTATATCATAAGTTTCAGAGGTAGTGTTCAATAATTCATCAGTTGCGTATAACACCCCGTGCTCATCACATCGCGTGCCCTCTTTAATACCCATCACCCGGCTGCCCCATCCCCCACCCACCTCCCTTCTGCAACCCTCAGTTTGCTTCCCAGAGTCAAGAGTCTCTTGTGGTCTGCCTCCCTCTCTGATTTCCTCCCATTCAGTTCTCTCTCCCTTCCCCTATGATCTTCTGCACGATTTCTTATATTCCACGTATGAACTTCCCACTGCTTGCTAAAGATCATCAACTGAGACAGCCCATTTCCATGCAACATCAGATGTACTGAAAGCACAAGTAACTGGCGGAAGGGTCTATGACAGGCTTGCAATGGGGCTGGGAAACAGGCCGGGCCAGCCCAGGACGTCTCTACCGCAGGGGAAGAAAGGGCAGGCCTGACTGCAGCTCGGGTCTTACCAGCACGGTGATCCCTTGCTCTTTGCACAGCATGGCCACTGCTCCCAGAAGGATACTCAGCAACACCCAGAACGTAGAATGTGTTCCCTCCTTGTTACCTGCTGATTAAGAGAAATGACAAACATAAAAGCCATGCGATACAGCTCAGGCTTCTTAGCACCAGGAACTACAATTCTAAGCATGCACCTTAAAATAGCCACAGTTTAAAAAGAGTTTGGTCTCCCGATAGCACTTCCCTGTGGGCAAGTGTATTACGTTCCGCATTTCTGGTCAGACAGCACCTTCTAAATGATATACACATCCAGCCTCAAGGCAGACTCTGGCAGGTGCCCAGAGCCTTTGGGAGGCATTTCAGTGAAGCCCTGGGCATAGAGCTAGCTCACGGCAGGCTCGCGATGGGGCAAATTCCTTCGTCCCAACCTGCCAGGCACTTAAGAGGCCACTGTGACAAGCGGTACTGAGACTTGCCCCTGCAAATGTAAGCACTGCATCTGGTCACAGGCTGACCCCAGCAGCGACTGCTGTTCCCGGCACAGGGGGGATGGCATTGGCCGAGCGGCCCCGAGAAACCCTACGACCGCCCACAGAGGAGTCCAGGGAAAGGCGCAGGCCAGGCTGCGCTGCTGACCTGCATGGGGACTCAAGCCAAAACATCCCTACGGATGTGAACTCTGTAGTATGAAGCCTGGGGTGAGACTGAGCTCAAGTCACCACCAAAAGTCCCTGAACTGCCTTCTGGAAAGGGAGGGTTGGGCTCCATACTGTTTCGTGGGAGGTATTTGCACTTTGGGGGCCAGAGCTGAACTGCTTGAAAGGAGAGGAAAGGCCACATGTGGTGCTCATCTCTGTTCTTCCTTTGGAAGGTCCTCACCTCCTCATCCACACGGATGGTAAACAAACATTTAAAAAAGACATTGGTTTGAAATAGGGCAAAGTGCACCTGCTTGGAGAGCCAAACCGTTAGCTTGCCTGGGCTGCCTATGCATCTTGGTTCAGTTCTGATGAAAACTGAATTCCACATTCTAGCTCTGCCGTTTACTACGTGACCCTGAGCAAATTACTTACACTCACAGTCTCAATGACCTCATCTATAAAATGGAAGCAACATGACCTACCTACTGGTGTATTTGAGAGGGGAAAAGTGAACTACCTGGCCATTTGTGTTAAAAATTATATAAACATTCTTGTAAATGCAAATCATATCTGGAAAGCATACAAGAAACCAACTACAGTAGTTTCTGAACAGTTCTAAGAAGAAAATTTTGGGCAGCAGAGGGAGAAAGTCTTACTTTGCATTGTATAGCCTTTCACGTATCCTTTACTTTTTTTCTTTTAAAACTATGTGCCTGTTCGGCAGCATCTCTAGCTTCTAGCCCTTAGATGCCAGCAGTACTCCCAGCCCTCAGTGGTGACAACCAAAAATGTCACAGGCTTTGCCGAATGTCCCTGGGAGGAGGGGGACAGAAATCACCTGCAGTTGGGACCACTGCCCCGAACCAGTGGTACTGACGACGGGTGGTCTGTGCACCTGCCCTTGGATCCTGTTAGTCATGCAGAGTCTCAGGCGCCACCCACACCTGTGCAATCAGAAACGCGACGGTGGAGCCCATTTGGCCTTTTAACCAGGCTTCCAGGTGCTTCTGATGCTCGCGAAAGGTTGGAGAGCATCACCCTAAAGAAGCAGCTTGCTCCCAGCCACATCCCTGGGGCCATGTGTGGCCCGTAGGAGCAGCTCAGACTTCTGCTGTTGGAATCCATGACACCTGACTGACTCTGGAAAGGCAACATGTGGTTGGTGAATAAAATTGCCGTCCGCTGTCTGCCAGAAAGGGGCCATAAGTTAACAGATGGTAGGGCCACCAAGCAGGAATAGTAGCAGTGCCTCTTAGAAGTTGTGCAGACCATCTCCCTTGCACAAGTGATGGAAGTGTTGGAAGTGTTGGCATCCTTTCCAAGACGCTTCCAGCAGGAGCCACATGGCCTTGACTTCAAGACCTTCAGGGATGGGGATTAACTTTCTGCAAGAGCCCATTTCGGTTGGAAACTGTGGGTTGTTGGAATATTTTTTCTTAGGGTGAGCCCACATCTGCCTCCCTCGATGTCAGGTCTTGGCTCTGCTCTCCTCTAGCACCTTTCCAATCGTTCAGGAGGCACCGTGCCTGGAAGCCAACTTCTCATTACCGAAAACCATTCTAGAGGAGTATAGAGTCTCATCAAGCCAGCGAAGGGTCATTTCACTTGCAGAAATTAATGACATTCCATGGATGTGAAACCGAAAGAATACAATTACGAGCCAAAAGAACCAACCCCCTTAAACTAATGTGTATTTGAGTGTTTACATATTTATGGGAACTTACTATTTTTGGGGGGGATTTGCTAGTGATCATCAGCAAACAGCATCAAAGCAGATGCCATCCTAGACACCAAAGCTTTTACATAAAATCACGGCCAAAATAACCCTAAAGCTAACACCCTGGTTAGCTCCTTTTGAATGATGATTTTAGGAAAGGCCTCGCAAATTTCGCCGCACAGCCCAGGGGTCCAGCTGGCTGAATGGAGGTGACCACAGCTCACAATGCACCATGCCTTCTGACATGTGACGGAGATGGATGGCAGGTGCCACCCTTAAGGCTTGTCCTCTCCATGCTGGTGGACATATGGTCCATTGAGCGTTTCTCCCATCACACGTCTTCCTGAGTCTGTATCAAACCACTCTCAGGATTTTCTCATGTTAGCAGTTGGTTGGTAAATAGGTACCTTTACTTATAAATGAACTCATGTACTACTGGGGGGGGGGTTTCCTCCACAGATAAAGGGAGTAAATGACCCCCAGCCCGGCTCCCATGTCCCTCAGGGAGGCCCCTCACAACAGGATCTACTCCAGGCCAGAGTGGGAGATGTGCTGTGGGCCCCAGCCTCTGCCTGCCCCTTCCACGTCCACGAAGCATTAGGTGTGGTGATTCACTAGGAACCAGATGGACCTCTCCCCTACTGCCTGGATTGGGTTTTTCTAAGCTTCCTGATTCCCACAATCTGTGCTTGGAACTCTTCATGAAACATAACAGGACTTCCCAATATAATGCTCCCTGTTCTTAACATGTAAAGAAGGTCCCTTGGGGTGCCTGCCTGGCTCAGTCGTAGAGCATGCAACTCTTGATCTCGGGGTTGTGAGTTCAAGCCCCACATAGGGTACGGAACTTACTTTAAAAAAAAATTTAAGAAAGAAGGTCCCTTAATCATTTTACATTCCCTCCTAGAAAAACTGAATTAGCTTGTATTTTACTTGACTGTGTAACCTGGATGAATTTCCCCCCACCATGGACCAGTGGCTTTGGATAGGAAAAAAAGCCCCCAGGCCCTCCATTAAAACACCCAAAGGACGGCTCTTGAAGCACTCCATTAACACAAAGTTAAATTAGTACAGAAATGTGGAAGTAATGGGCTCATGTTCCACTTGCTTGGAATTTAAAATGGTTTTCTCCTTAGATGGCTAAATCAGAGATTTCACTGAATACAGAAAAATAACTTATATAGAAAACACAGCTTTCAGATTTACTGATAATCTTCTCCCTAAGCTCACCCCATAATTTCATCACACTTCTCAAATCCCAAATTTCAGCAAGGGACCTGGACACCCCACACCTCTCAAATCCTCTATCATGATTCTTTTGGAAGAGTACCACTCTGTAATTATCTCTTATACTTTTGATTTTGTGCAGACATGTCTGGTAAAAGACGTGTGCGAGCGAGTATTTCTTTGCTGAAGAAATTTCTTCAGTTACAGTGATGATTAAATATTATGCCACTTCTCAACAGTGGCAATTTCTGATCAAAGGCAAAATTTCAGTCGTCAGTTACAAAACCCAGTGATGGCCTCACATTCAGAAAACCGAATTCGATTCCGCCACTGTCCAGAGGAGTAGGCATTCTAGCTGAGGAGCGCCTGAAATCTATCTAGTCCCTAGTGAGATGTGTTGTAAGTATAAAATACATACCTGATTTGGAAGACTCGGTATGAAAAAAAGGAATATAAAATATTTCATAATTTTTATACTGATTATTACATATTGAAATTATCATATTTTGATATATTTGGCTAAAAGTGTAGTTAAAATTCATCTAACCTGTGTCTTTTTATAATGTGGCTACTAGACATTTAAAAATTACATGCATGGGGGCGCCTGGGTGGCTCAGTCATTGGGCATCTGCCTTCGGCTCAGGTCATGGTCCCAGGGTTCTGGGATCAAGCCCCACATTGGGCTCCCTGCTCGGCGGGGAGCCTGCTTCTCCCTCTCCCACTCCCCCTGCTTGGGTTCCCTCTCTCGCTGTGTCTCTCTGTCAAATAAATAAATAAAATCTTTAAAAAAAAAAA